GTGTACAGTCTGGGAGTGCAGTGCAGGCTGCGTGCTGGATATACACTCAGATGCATGCACCATCTCTGTACCTACACTTGATCTATAATACACCCGTCCCTATAAATAGCCTTATTTCTATCTATATCCAGATCCACATGTACATCCATATTTCTTAAACTGCAATTTCAAAAAGATTTATTTATTTAATTTTATGTGTATGGTGTGCTTGTATGAATTAGGTGTGCCGCAGGGCCATTCTTGATCCTGACATGGATTTCCCAAGACACCCCGGCTCTTGGCAGCTTCCTGAACTGTCTGAGAGGTGCTCCCAACACTTCCATGGGATCCTCTTTCATTCCCACGTGTGGCTCCTACCCTGGCCCTTCAGAGTCCGCAGAAGGGTGCTGTCACAGCTTCGGAGACTGCATTCTCAGGGAGGCTCTCCACTGCCCGAGGGCCTAACACAGCTCTTTCTACATAGACCAATGAGGGCCTGGGAGCCACATGGGAGGATTCACAGGGCCAGCATAACGCAGCATCCCGAGAAGCCAGGCTGGGTGGAGACGAAGAACAGCCATGCACTGGGGAAACTGACAAGGTGTCTGGTGTCTTTCTCTGCCCCGTGCCTGCCTGCTGACTATATGCCTGCATCTCCAGGATTCCTGGTTACTTCTTTCTACATTTTCAAGGGCATTAAAATGTCTTAAAATTGTATGTGTACGCAGCACATCAGTGAACATGGGGAGGTCAGGAGACAGCTTTTGTGAGTCAGTTCTGGGTCAAACTTGGGCCTCCAGGCTTCACCGCAACCACGGGGCACATCTCCCCACCCCCACTCCCATGGCACTTTAAGTATCCCTCATACCCTGCATAGAGCAAGTGTCTTATTTCATTTTATAGTTTTGAAGTCTTACTTTTTACTTTTAATTATTACATCCCTGTATACATATGCCACATATACATAGGGGTGCCTATGGAAGCCAGTTTTAGAGTCCCCTGAAACTGGAGTCACAGGTAGTTGTGAGCTGCCCAGCAGGTGTGCTTGGAACCAAACTCGTGGTCTTCTGCAAGAGCAGCAAGCACTCTTAATCACTAGCCACCTCTCCAGCCCCCTTATTTCCCTTTTCCTCAATGGAAGCTGTCGCCAATGTCCAATGCCAAAACATTAGCCTCCACCCCCAGAAAATAACCAGCACAAATGAAGAGATCGACCTCAAAATCCTATGGAAAGAGAAACTCTGGTTCTAATATTTAAATTAACTTACTCATTGAGCAAATTTGTCTTGAACTGAAATAATGCACCACTCCTTGTTGCACAACGGTAGTAGACTTACAAGTGTGTGTGTGTGTGTGTGTGTGTGTGTGTGTGTCTATCCCTACCTCAATCACTCCACATTGCAGGCGGGGCAGAAACAGAAACAAATCAATAAAGACAAGCTGACCCTCTGGACCCCCTGGTTCTGAAGGGGAGAGCAGGTAACCTGAGCTCTCCAAAGGGCTTTCAGGACATAGAAGACCCTAGTGATAGACGATAGGAGGTGCTAGAGTCAAGTAGCAGGTTTGAGTGACTGAGTGCTTAGGCTGTTAGAGAAGCTGTCTGGTTTTCCTCTGTGAGGAGAGAAGCTGCAGACGCTCTGGGCAGGGGGCCTCATGACCCACTGTGGCTTAAATGTTACTCTAGCTACTGTTTGGAGATCCAGTGGGTAGGGAAGCAGGAGACTGACAAGCCATGGGGGCGATACTGCTAGGCATAGGAAAGGATACACAGGGAGGAGAAGATCAATGGGGCAGTCAAGGACAGCCGGTCAAGGTGAAGATGGAGTAGCCTGGACTGGGGTAGAAAAACTGCAGGGCTTGAGGGCAGGAAGGGACCAGGCACCCCAGCTTACTAAAGACTGTCCAGTTTCAGATGCCAGTGAGAAATGGTGGCTGACTTCATCTAGCCCTCCTACAGAGGCCAATGAGATCATGCAAAATTATAAGGAGCATCCCTTCCTGTGTTGACTGCTTTTGACTGACTGGCAACTTTTGTCCCTGTTGGTGTAGAGAAATCTTTGGACTCTGCCTGCTGGATCAGCAGGAATCCAGCAAGTTCAATGCCACGTTTGTCGAATTGTCTCTAGATATCCATCTTGTCAGATGCCATCTGGACCCATCTGAACACTTTCTTGCATCCTGTGTTAAGTCTGGAGTTAAATCTTCAACTCAAGTCCCCTGTCTCACCTGGGAATCATAATTTGACCACATAATTGACAATGCCCAGTGGTGATGCTAGGCAGCCAGTTAGCTATGTGAACATGAACTTCTTTGACTAGCAGGGGACATTTGAGAAGAGAGATGTGGCCTGCATAGTACCAGCCAGGAGACTGCATGGATCAGGGTCATGCTCCCTGACTCACCTCCTAGAGTTTTACCAGCTACCCTGGAGACTGCACATGTTCTATGATAGGTACCTTCCTCCATTTTACAGAGGAGAGGACAAGAAAGAGAGGCTGGAAATGCCTGGGGCCATGGGACTGAATCCAGTCAGTTGGTAGGGAACCTCATTTCATACCAGGGCTTCTCTGGTTGGAGTTTCGTTAATGCCAGAAGACCTCTTCCATCCATGGCTGGGGATGGGGAAAGAGGGATCAGAGAAGCCCCACAACAAGACTAACCAGGCCCAAGATTTTGTTTGTGTCAAGGTTGAGAAATTCTGGTCTAGCTGGTGACATGGTCACGTCTAGACAAATGGCTCTTCTTCCATACACCTTCATGATTCTTCTCAGGCCCACATGTCTATAAGGCTTTGCCTTATGTCCGTTTCACCCTCTACACTGTAGGCTCCATGCTCACCCTCTATCAAATTCTTAGTGCCAGGATGAATGACAGGCAACTACCAACTGCGTGCTCACTTTGAGACTACATTCTGATACATCTGTGTGCATCTTAGGGAAACCTCTAGCGAGGCTAGGAGATGGCTCAGAGGCTAAGAGGGCTTGCTGGTCTCAGAGAGGACCTCAGTTTAGTTTCTAGAACCCGCATGGTAGCTTACAACCATCTGTAACTCTAATCCCAGGGCATCTGACTCCCTCTTCTGGCTTCTGCAGACACTGCATGCATGTGGTGCACATACGTCTATGCAGGCAAAACCACTCACACACATGAAAGAAAAACAAATAAAATTAAGAAAAGAAAACCTCAAGGAAGTGTGACAGAGAATCAGTAGGTGGAGTGGCATCTGCGTGTTACAAATTTGTGTTGCTCATTAAGCATGTTATTGCATTTAGCTTAAGAAATCAGAGCAAGCAGAAGACCTGAAAGCCAGCCAGCCCTCAAACTTCAAGTCCTGGCTGCAGCTAATTTTTCATTGTCCTTGAAGCTGATCAAGTCTGTGGAAACAGCATCACCAAATTAACTCCCAATTAACTCAAACAGATGGCTGAAATTTTCCAGGTGACTTTCCATATTAATTCAGCATGTTGGCTGGACCAGGCCCCTGGAGGCTTGGCAGGGATTGGCTGAGAAGGAACCGATGACATAGAGGGATCTTCAGGAGAGATGCAGAGACAATAACCTGAGCTGTTTTATCTCAGTAAAAATAGCATCAGCCAAACTGACTGGTCTTCTTCCACCATTGCACTCGGACCGGGAACTGCCCCGTGATGGGCCATCAGAGTCCTACCCTAGGAAGCTGCGTGGGCTCAGGTTTATGAAGACTCAGTAGGGGCACCTAATCCTGTCTGGCAAGGGATAAGACCAGCCCAGGGCAGAAAGAAAAAGGAAGAGGCTAGCCCTTTACAGATTACCAAATTCCCAAGCCTGGCCTTTCTTTATTTCCTCCCAGGGGCACCATGATATCAGGTTCCACCAAAGAAAGGGGTTGAAGACCTTCAGTGGAATTCTGCATGTGGGGAGCAGGTTGGACATGCCAAGCCCTCTCGGAAGAGCATTATCTTCATCCCTTCTCCAAGTGCCCAAGGCCCCTGCACAATTCTACTGGGTTCCACCATCTTCCCTTCTGTCCCCGTCTACTGATGTCAAATGAGTGCCTCTGCTTGGTGACTTTCCGTGGGGGTGAAGAAAGCCCACATTAGGGGAACTAGGGTGCTATGCCAGGGAAAGGAGAATGGAGGGTGAGCGTGTGGTGGAGAACCCTCCCCAGGAGAGCCAGAGCAACTGGGCCAAGCACTTGCCCTTCCAGAAGCCGCCAGAAACTTCTAATAATGTGGAAATTTGTAAGTGATGGAAACATGAAGAACCAAATTTTGTCATGTAGCCTTGGCACCTGCTGAGTCTCCAAACTGGGTGCTCCCAGTGCTAACAGCTCTAATAGACATCCAGAGTCCTAGATGTGTGGGTCTTCTCCCTGTTCTCGCAGAGAGGTATGGTGACTATGGAACCAGACTCTAGATGGTTCAGCCCCCAGATGGCTTGATTTCAAGCAAAACCGATATTCAAATAATTTCACTTCGATGGATCCCATTTTTCTGATTTAACTAGAAAGTCTGTACAAAGTAGATGTTTGTAGCGATGGGCCAACATGATTTTCCACATGCCCTTTGAAGCACATGCCTGTCACCCGCTGGGAGGGCTGGCCCTTTTAGAGCAGGACTCATCAGGCAGTTGTAGGAGATACTTAGCTAGAGGCCATGCAAAATCCTGAAAATGGGATGCTGCTCACAGAAATTGGATTCCAGGATTTCCTTGCATCGGATCATCCAGAGGGTGCCATCTGTTTGCCTTGTGAATGACCCTGTTGTGACAGGGGCTGACCTGGCATGCTTTTCCAGAGTACATTCCTTCCTATGGGAAAGGTTATCTGGCCCGATATAAGGTCAGGAATAAAAACATATGCTGCTTGGTGTTTCCCATTTATTTTTTTTTTCCCAGAAAAGCTAACCACACATCAGCAAGGAAGGCTGGGAGAACCAAGCACTTGGAGGCTAGCCAGTGCTGCAAGAGAGCCCATTCTGGAGAAGCTGCATTAATGGCTTCCCTTTGCATTTGTTTCTAACCCAACGGTGCAAGAAACCAACCTCATGCGAGGGTCATCAGGTGGTATCATCTCCAGGTCGTGGGTGGGTCCGCTCAAGCTGATGACGTGGAGGGAGATGCTGGGGTTTTCACTGCCAGCCTGCAAAGTAAGGGGACAGAGTTGTGAGGGAGCGGTGTGAGGGAGTGGCCATGATGCCTGGAACCACCCTTGGCTTTGCAACATCTTGTCCGAAAGACTCACATCTGGGCACCATGGAGCTTGATACTAAAGAGCATCACTTACATTGAGGACAGATGTGTGTGTGTGTATCCATATGTGTGTGTGTTTGCATGTGTTTGGAGGCTAGAGGACAAGCCTGGGTGTCGTGCATCCTGAGACACCATCCACTGTCTTTTTTTTTTTTTTTTCTTCCGAGACAGAGTTTCTCTGTAGCTTTGGTGCCTGTCCTGGAACTAGCTCTTGTAGACCAGGCTGGCCTCGAACTCCCAGAGATCTGCCTGCCTCTGCCTCCCGAGTGCTGGGATTAAAGGCGTGCGCCATCATTGCCCGGCCCATCCACTGTCTTATCTGATGATAGCATCTCTCACTGGTCTGGTGCTCACCAAAGCTGGCTTATCAGCAAGCTCAGGGATTTTGTCTTTGCCTCTCCAGTGCTAGGGTTACAACTATACCCCATCACACCCAGATTTTTATATGGGGATCTAACTCTAGGCCTCATGCTTACATGGCAAGTATTTTACCAGCTGAGCTCTCTCCATTCCTAATATACAGAACGTTTAAAAGGCAGAGAGATCTGGGTCAGCTCTGCCTTCCCAGGAGTCTTGTCATCTGCCCATTCCATCCAGTTCACTCCGTCTGCCAGTGTTGGGGGTACTTGGCTAGCCATGAGAAGGAAGAAAACTGCTCAGGAGGGCAGAGAGAGGTGCGGGGTCATGAAGAGGAGAGAGGAGCATGCACAGACCATAAGGAACACTGATCTATGAGGGTCACAGCTCCCAGGAGCCTCTTTCTCAATAAGGAACCACAGTCCTGATCAGTTTCAGCCATCCTCTTTCTCTGGAGACCAAATTCTCAACTTGAGAGGGCTGGGAGAGGCATGGCTCAGCAGGGCTGCTCAGGCTTGATGTCTTCCACCTCTTATACATTTAGGTTAGAAGGAGTCTGTCCCACAGCAGGGAACAAGTTGGCAGCTGGATACTCTGACTGGGAGTGGGAAAGAACAGGGCACATCCCAGAACTCTGTCGGTCAGTCTGTGGAATTTCTATTAAAACATGGACCCCAAATCCTCAGCAAGACTGCGCTTTCTAAATCCTGGTTAAGAGGACATGTCCCATAGCACACTGCCAAATCAAGGAACTTACTAGATTTTAGGCTGTCACGTATAAGGACAACTGTAAGGATATATGTATGTGTATATACATGTACACATGTATGTATGATTGATGTGTATGCATATGGCTGGTGTGTGCGTGTGTGCATGTATGTATGTGTATATTAGGGGATACAGAAGAGCTAGGGAGACTTGGACTTAATCTCATATACTATGTTTAACTGAGTCCAGCTAGCCCTTCACTTTGTATACAATGAAGACTGGTGGGAAAGAGAGCAGAGAAACCTAGTCAATGGAAAATTCATGTTACAATCTCCCAGGAGAGGAAAGGAGACAAGGCTGTGTCCTCAGTGACTCATGCTCTTCCACTCTGGGACCCCAACAGGCACTGACCATACCCCTTAAAGGCTACTGGTGGGAGTCTGTACCACTAGATGGACTGGATGAATCACCTCAAATTCCTGTGCCCTAGGTGGGTGGTATTTGAAAGCATGCTCTTATGGTAGTGATTAGGGTTAGATGAGGTCATGTGGGTGGGCTCCTGTGATGGCATTCGTGTCATTAAGATACCAGAGCTCTCGTCATCTGCCTTGTGAAGAGATAATGGGATGTGCCTCAGTTGGGAGAGAGCTTGCCTAGCGCACAGAGTGCTGTGCTCAGTCTCCAGCATGTGTGAACTTGGTATGGTGATGCCTGCAATCCTAGCACTTGGGAGGTAGGAGATCAAAAGTTCAAGGCCATCCTCAGCGACACAGAGAGTTCCAGGCCAGTTGGAGACATCTAAGACTCTATTTAAAAAAAAATGGTACTCAAAAGAAGACGTTAGTCTGCCAGCAAGGAAGAGTCATCACCAGGACCTGCATCATCAACATCCCAACTTCAGACATCCAGCCTCTGTGAGGACACCACTGTGGTCGTGGGGACACGGCTGTGAGGACACTACTGTTGTCATGGGGACCCGGTTGTAGGGACATTACTGTGGTTGTGAGGACACTACTGTGGTCGTGGGGACACGGCTGTGAGGACACTACTGTTGTCATGGGGACGCGGTTGTAGGGACATTACTGTGGTTGTGAGGACACCACTGTGGTCATGGTGACATGGCTGTGAGGACACTACTGTGGTCATGGGGACACGGCTGTGAGGACACTACTGTGGTCGTGGAAGTGGCGTAAGCCTGTGGTGGTCTGTTTGGCAGCTGACACAGGCAAGCTCACTAGGTGCTTGCTTCCTCTCGTCCATTGTTTTGAGCCCATATACGTCATTCTCATCATGGGTCCTCCACAGGCTCAAGGACTTCTTACCATATGGGAACATGCACCGCTAGTTTTTAGACCAGCCAGGTGGGTGAGGAGACCTCAGCTCAGACATTCCCTGGCAGGCATAGGATGGTCTCAGAGGTGGGGTCCAGCAAAGGGTGGGAGCCCAGCAGTAAAGGTGCCATGCCTATCTGTTCTCTGGCCTTAAAGCAGTCTGGTGATGCCCTCGGGAATAGATTAGGTAGCTGTGTGCAGCCTAGGAGCAGGAGCTGCATCCATGCTCCTAGATGCCAGCCTCCAAGTGAGGGAGTCACGGAAGTTTCTGTATCAGGATCTGCCCTGTGAGTGGATGCTGTGACGTGATGCAGGGTTGAGGTTTGGAGGCCCCTCCCACTTTCCTGTGCCCTTCCCTGCTATTCTGCTGGCTCAGCCCTGTCTTTGTCTACTTTGGTCACCATAACAAAATATCAAAGACTTGGTGGCTTATGAACAACAGGGATGTAAGCCTCACAGCTTGGGGCTGAGAGGCCAAGATCAAGGTGCTTGTTGATTTCCTATCTGGTGAGGGCCTAGGCCTCAGAGATGAAGCCTGTTTCATGACTCCTCACACAGCTGGAATGGAAGAGGGAGTTCTCTGGCTCCTTCATATGCCCCTCAATCACAGGGCTCCTCAGCCATAGCCTGGATCACCTCTCAAGAGCCTTACCACCTTGGGGTCTCAACATACAGATATTGGGGATCACAAGTTCTGGGACTAGCAGTGACTGTGGGTAATTTAGCCTCTTCATGGCCCAGGAAGCCAGAAGAGAGAGAAGTCCTTCTAATCTACCGGAAGTTGCATCCCATATGGAGCCAGACTTTTGGTCACCTGGAGTCACTGAAAGGGGTGATGCATTTATATTGCTTATAAGGACCTTGGACAAATAATCAATGGTCATTCAGTTATTTAGAATCAAGGAAACCTGCCAACAAACTCAACAAAGATGGGATTTTAGTGCGACATGAGTGTTTACTGTGCAGCTGGCAAAGACGTTGGATTATAAGACCTTTACACATGGAAGCAGTGGCCGAACGAGCTCATAAATGACTCAGGTTGACTGAACCCGCTCTTTGCCTACCTTAGGGTAGTGGTAGGGCTTCACAGTGGGGTAGACAGAGCCTGTGTACGTCGGCAGCTCCATAACAGGAACCCGAGAGTCATTGATGGTAGCATAGGCGAGCCTCGTGCCATCTGGTGACCACCAATGCGCGATGTGGCTCTTCAAAATCTCCTCTGTGGGAAAATAAAGCAGAAATGGTGAGTAGAAGCTGATGCCAGGGAGATGGGGCTGTAGGGGGCTGCAGGGGATTACATGGGACTGCAGGGCTACAGGGAGCTGCAGGGGCCTACAGGGCTGCAAGTCTGCAGGGGGCTGCAGGGAGCTGCAGGGGCCTGCAGGGGGCTACAGGGAGCTGCAGGGGTTTACAGGACTGCAGGGGGCTGCAAAGGGCTACAGGGACTGCAAAGGGCTGCAGGGCTGCAGGGGGCTACAGGAGTTGCTCTTGGGAGCTGGTCAGGGACAAGTGACACCTTGGGCCTGAGAGTCTACTTTCCCTCTAAGCTTTCTCATCTCAGTTTCCCTCATGGGGTTCAGAAGTGTCTGACACCACAGTGAAGCCTGACATGGTGAACCAAAGTTCAACCAAACACACGCTGGATGTATGGAATTGGATCCCTAGGCCTAAGGAGTACTTTGTTTTTTTTTTTTTTTTTTTTTTGTTTGTTTGTTTGTTTTTTTCTCCTTAACTGAGTAATCATTAGATTTTAATTATCTCATTCAATTTCCTATCTTTTCTTGATAATATTTGATGCGTATTACAAAGCCCTTTCTCTGCTAATGAGTGCTTTTGAGTTGGACTGTTATATAGCTGTAGAGGTGTGTGTGTGTGTGTGTGTACAGGCACACATGTACATATGCTGTGTCGTGTGTGTGGACACCAGTGCAGAACCTCACATGTTCTTTAGATGCTGTTTGCCTTTTTTTTTTTTTTTTGGAGACAGGGTCTCTCACTGGCCTGGAGGTCACCAAGTAGGCTAGGCTAGCTGGCCAGCAAACCCCGGGGCCCCTCCTGTTTCCACCTCCCTGGGATTGTTAGCACAAGTCACTAGGCTTGCTTGGCTTCTGTTTGTTTTGTTTCACTCTTTCTTTTTATTTATTTTTATTTATTTTTGAGACAGAGTTTCACTAGTTAGCCCTGGCTGGCCTGAACTCACTATGTAGACTAGTCTGGCCTCTAGTTCACAGAGACTCACCGGCCTCTGCCCTGAATGCAGGTTTAAAGGTGTGCACCACCATGCCCAGCTACACTCAGATTTTTTTTTCTATATGGATTCTTAGGATTGAACTCAGGTCCTTTTTACTGAGCCGACCCCCTAGGCAGGCAGGTCATCATATCAATATGATCTTACAAAGGACACCAGAGGAAACCAGTTCACGCTGTGGCGCGTTCATGAAGACAGGCTGGGGCGAGAGACAGGAGAAAGGAAGCTATGGGGAGGTTCAGCCTTAGACAGCAGGTGAATATACAGGGAGACCTGTGTGGCCACTTGTCCTCTACTACAGAGGAGGAAGGAGGATGTGTCCTCACCACACATGTGCCTCAGCCTTAAACCATCTCAGTTTCACTGGGTGGCTATAAAGCAGTGTGGACCCATCCTAGAAAGGACAGAGATGAAGATGGGAGTCCAATCAGAAATGTCCAATGTCTCTTCTAACACAGACATTTCTAGTCACCAGACTTAGAGAGAAATGAACTTGGCAGGGTCAGGGAGAAAAAAAAAAACCCTTTTGCCAGTTGTTTTCCTTCTAGGATAAGGCCTTGCCTACATAGTTCGGATTGGTCTTAAACTGGTGACCCTCCTACCTCCATCTCCCAAGTGCTGGGATGATGGAGCACCCCACCTCCCCTGGTGTCTTCTGTGTTTTTAACACATCTAGAGAAGATACTGTCCAAATATTACAGGCCAGAAGCTGGGAATCAGCAACCGCCAGGATCCTTGCTGGTACAGAAAGTATTAAGAGGTCCGTCTAGATCGTCTTTAAAGTGATAACTCCCGCAATGGTACAGGTGGGGTCCACTGGCACCCCAACCTGCTCTTTGTTTCTGGAAGCTAAAGACACACAGAAGGGGGCAATTCATGTGTGTGCTTGGCTGAGAACAGAGGAAGCAGAAATAGCTAGGAACTACAGGCAAAGGCACGGAGGGGAGGATGCACTGGGAGGACTGGCCTGCACCCGTCTCAGGGCCTGCGGATGGAGAGCAGACTGTGGGGGTGAAGTTTCAGGACACATTTCACAGCCCAGTCAGAGGACTCCTGAGTCTCTCTGAGAGCTGGCTGCATCCCGAGGAGCCTCTGATGGTGCAGTTTTTCTCTGCCTTCTCCTCCCTGGACTGATGATGGGAGTGAGGGTCATGCTGGAGGAATGTATGAACCAAGGATCGTTATCTTGTCACACACTTCCGCCCTGTCCTCCAGAGCACCTTCCCACAGGCTTCTGCAGCCCATGCGGATTCCCTACTGCATGTGGCATAGCGCACCAGGGATCCCAGCCTTCTCTGAACTCTCAGACATGCAAACCTGTGCCAAGGTGACTTTTCCCATCAGGTCAGCCTGGGCTTGAGCACAGAGGGAGCTTAAGGGTTCAAGCCATAACCTGTCCCGCTATTTTTAAGTCTCCATCTATGAAATGAAAGTGCCCAGTGCAGCCTCTGACCCCTACTTCAGTTGTGTTGGCATCTCACAGTGCCTGTCCAGCTCCCTAGGGCATTTCTAGTGTCCGTGAGGACACAGAGGTGAGTGAGAGAGAGAAGAGGGGGAGGGGGAGAAGGAGGAGGAGGAGGTAAAGGAGGAGCTGGAGGAGGAGGAGGAAGAGTAGGAGGAGGAGGAGGAGGAGGAGGAGGAGGAGGAGGAGGAGGAAAGCACAAGCCAGGCTTTAGAGCTTGTAATTTTCCGGGTCTTCAGCAGCAGAGGGAGTGACTTTGATGTGCAAGATTGGAACAAGGTGGTTCAAAAATGACTACACAGCATCACCTGATCTGCAGGAGCGCTCACAAGGTGCAGTGAGTATTGAGCCTCTGTAGATGCTCTCTGGGAAACACAGCCACCTAAACACAATGCACTGCAGGGCCAGAAGGGAAGGGACCCATTTTGGCAGTCACTGTGGCCTAGCAGGGCAGAGCTGGGGCAGAAGAAGGAGGACCAGAGTCAGGGGAGGCTGCCAGGGTGCCTCACGGCTGGCTTCTGTTTCAGGATATCCACTAAAGAGCCAGTCCAGGCAAATCCAGTAGAAAGCTGGCTGGCCACACAGAGACATTGTCAACAAAGAGACAAGTACAGTCACATCAAAGCCCTGGAGAGATGACAGCCCTGCTCCTTCCGACTGAACCCAGAGTAACCTCCCTAGATCTTTGGGAGGACAATGTGCCAGTCTCGTGCAAACCCTCTTCCTCTCTCTCCTCCATCCACCGTGCACATCTCACTTCCAGACCGGTCCTCAGCCTGGTAGGAAATGGTACTTTAGCCTGAGCAGCACAGCCCAGGAGCATGGGAAGACAAACTAGAAACTGCATGCAATCTCAATTCCATGTGGAATCTACGAAAGATAGAGTAATAGAAACAGAGACAAGGCAGTGACCAGCAGCGTCCTGGCTGTTTCTTTGTCAACAAAACACAAGCAAGCCTTATCTGGAAAGAGGAACCTCAACTGTGGGAATGCCTCCATCAGATGCTCAGTAGGCACTTCTGTAGTGCATCTTCCTGATCAGTGATTTATGGGGGAGATTCAGTTCATTATAGATGTTTTCGTCCTTGGGCAGGTGGTTTGGGGTATGTAAAAAAGCAGGCTGAGCAAGTCACAGCAAACAAGCCAGTAAATCAGAGGTCCATGGTTCCTGCCCCCAGACTCCTGTCCTGACTTCCCTTCGTGAAGGACTGTAAGCTGTAAGATGAACTAAATCCCCTTTTCCCCCAAGTTGCTTTTGATCATGGTGCTTTTTGGGGGTGGGGGGAGTAGCAGCAATAGAAACTGAACTAGGATAAGAGGGTAGAGGGAGGAGGAGTAGCGGAATGTGGGTCGAGGCACCTGACTCTCTGGTCAAGAGGATTAGAGACCTTTATCGCCTACTGGGATGACTGGAACCACTAAGTCATCGTTTGCATGCAAGCCACTGAAAGGAGCACTGAGGGGTGCTCCCCACAGGACATGCATGACGTCACGCATTTGCTAACTAGATTGATTTAGTAGTTCTACAGGATGGGCTGTAGATACATACATCTGTATGTACGGTTTTACCTGTAAATCATAAAGCAGTGCCACACAACAAAGTACTCTATGGAGGCAAATATGCTATCTGATTAAGTGGGCACTGGCATTGGGTCTGGCTGTATACAGCCGTGGTATCATACACGAAGTATGCTTCCCAGTTTGGAGGAAAAATCTTAAATGGAGAAATAATAGGTTCCCTCAGAGCAGCATCACAGGTAGAACTGTGTCCCTAAAAGGAATGTGGAAGTTCTAATCCTACCTGTGTGTGACCTCACTTGGAAACAGGGTCACTGCACAGTGGTAATTACATGTCAACTAGGATGAGGTTTTGCTGGAGAGAAGGACCTTAATCCAATATGGCTGGTGTCCTGAGGACTGGAGAGGTGACAGACAGGAGGAACATGCAGTGACAACAGACGCTGGAAGATGTGTCTGAAAGCTTGTGTTGGCATTCCTGGTCAAAGACCGAGCATTCTAGCCAGGCAGTGGTGGCGCACGCCTTTAATCCCAGCACTCGGAAGGCAGAGGCAGAGGTGGATCTCTGTGAGTTTGAGGCCAGCCTGGTCTACAAGAGCTAGTTCCAGGACAGACACTATGGTAGAGACCGTTTAGAAGTTAATAACAAGCACCATGGGAGCTGCCAATTCCAAGTGATACGGGAGTGATCAGAACAGACCTGGGGAAAACAGGAAACCAACGGAAATCAGGAAGGCAGAGTGGTGGGGCCTGGAAACTTACTCCCACCACCCCCACCAACTATACTTCTGAATAACAAAATCCATGAGTTATAGGTATATGGAGAGAAAAACCACCTACCAGCCCCTAAAGGCCAGGTGTACATGTTCTGTGTCTAGACCCGGCACAGGGGACAAGGTGTGACAACCATTGCCTCTCTTTCTGCTTCCTGCTGGCTGGAGTGTAGACAAGGGTGTGACACTGTGGTTTGGGCCTCAGAGGCACCTAAGAT